CCTCTGAGCTGGCCGGCTGTGAGAGCGCTTCCTCCAGTCTGTCTCCTCCTACGCTGTAGTGATGGAATGTTCTTACATTCTATACACAGTGTATAGAACGTGATGATTTACGGGACCTTAGACCGCTACAGTGGAGGAGAGAAGCTCCAGGGACCAGTCTAAAAGCAAGCCGGCTCAGAGCATTAGGTGAGTATAACTTTTTTATTTTCCCCCCAAACGAGCACTTGAACCATGCAGTGCAGGAGTAGCCCCACTGCAAGGGTTTCCAAAAATTTTCTCCAGAGCTCTTCTTGAAGCACATCCCGAAGAGGAGCTCATTAGACTTGTGCGCCGTCAAAAAATTTGTTCTGTTTCGTTTCTGAATATCCGTTATTTCGTATTTCGTAACTGAACTCAATTCCGATTCGTACGAAATACGAATTTTCGTTAGTGGCGGTTATATTTTCGTAACTTTACGGACATTCGTTATGATGAAGCTAAAAAGCAAAATACCTTTGTTAATATTGGAGTCGATGTGGTAGTTGTTTTTTTTTATCCGAAATACGAATTCCGTTAACGAATTCCGTATCCGAATTTCGGATTTAAAAAAAAACTACCATCAACTCCAATAGAAATGTACTTTGCTTTTTAACTTCAATATAAAACGAATGTTCGTAATGGAACGAAAATACGGCAACGGAATTTCGTATTTACTGCTTGTATTCTAATGCAACTCTCAGCAGCAGAAGAGAACCTCTGATTGGTCAACCAAAACGAAATACGAATTCCGTATCCGAATTTCGCATTTCGGATTGAAAAAAAAATACCATCAACTCCAATAGAAATGTACTTTGCTTTTAACTTTAATATAACGAATGTTCGTAACGGAACGAAAATACGTCAACGGAATTTCGTATTTCCTGCCTGTGTGTGTAACTGTGTATTGTAATGCATCAGCAGCAGCGGATCCGTATCTCGGATTAAAAAAAAAATCTTGTCATGCTGTTCAACCTCATTTACACT